CTTTTTAATATGCTGTCTAGGTCTGTCATAGCTTTCCTTCCAAGAAGCAAGCATCTTTTAATTTCATGGCTTCAGTCACCATCCGTGGTGATTTTGGAATTCAAGAAAATAAAATCTGTCACTGTTACCATTGTTTCCCCTTCTATTTTCTATGAAGTAATGTGTCTGGGTGCTATGATCTTAGTTTTCTGAATGTTGTGTTTTAAGCCAGCCTTTTCACTCTTCTCTTTCACCTTCATCAAGAGGCTTTTTAGTTCCTCTTCACTTTCTCCCATTTGAGTGGTATCATCTGAATATTTGAGTTTGTTGATATTTCTCCCAGCAATCTTGATTCCAGCTTGTGAGTCATCCAGCCCAGCATTTCACATGATGTACTCTGCATTAAGTTAAATAAGCAGGGTGACCATATACAGCCTTGACATACTCCTTTCCCAATTTTGAACCAATCAGTTCTTCCATATAAGGTTCTAACTGTTGCTTCTTGACCTGCATACCTGCTTCACAGGAGACAAATAAGATGTTCTTGTACCCATCTCTTTAAGAATTTTCCACAGTTTTTTGTGATCCACGCAGTTAAAGGCTTTCGCATAGTCAGTGAAGCAGAAGTTGATGTTTTTCTGGAATTCCCTTGCTTTCTCTGTGATACAAAGGATGTTAGCAGTTTGCTGTCTTTCTTCTGCCTTTCCTAAACCCAGCTTGTACATCTAGAAGTTCTTAGTTCACATACAGCTGAAGCCTAGCTTGAAGTATTTTGAACATAACCTTGTTAGCATATGAAATGAGTATGGTTGTATAGTAGTTTGTGCATTCTTTGGCATTGCCCTTCTTTGGGATAGGAATGAAAACTGACCTTTTCCAGTTCTGTGGCCACTGCTGAGTTTTCCAAATTTGCTGACATACTGAGTGACATAGGGGATAGTATGAAATGCCCCTATTAGACTATAACCTTCTGTAAGGCACGGGCCTGGTCTTCCTTGACTTTGCATCACAGGTGGTCATTGTTCCTGGAGCATGGGCACTTTGGCTTTTTAAGCAAAGAATATATGACAGATAATCATGTCCCTTTTGCTCACCGCAGAGTCTGAGGAATGATGATATTCCTGGGTACAGGTCCGCTTTCTCAGACTATCCCAGTATATAAGATCCCACAGCTGGAATACCTCTCTAAGAAATAATTCACTTCTCCTTGAACAGTGAAGTTCACATTCATCAATTGGGCAGGAGAGTGACTTAACTCCGTCCACCCCAAGTCCTGTGCAAACCTTTGGGCAGAGTGTTCTGGGTTCAGAGACTAAAATGGGAGATTCTAACAAGATACCTCAGGGAGTCTAGATCTAAAGAAGGGAGCAAAAGCCAAATCCTAGAAGCTCAGAGAGCTGTCTAGAAGATCACCAGCACTGAAGGGCGTCAGGGTGGTTGTTACCAAACCAGAAATATGGGACCAGGGATACAAGAGGCAGCACGCCAAGAACAAGTGGGGAAGAGGAGGTTATAGTGTCTGCAACTCTCACGGCTGCCTTTTTTGGGCCAAATTGGCCTAATACGTAGTGGTTTAAAATCACAAAGATGGAATGGATGGCACTTGATTCATACCCACACAAATTACTGCTTTTTTTGCCTAGCTATACTCTCCTTTAAGGCAAAGTAGGGTTTTCAAGAACTGTGCAGGAGTACTGATGGCCCAGTTATAGTTTTTCCTAATTGAATGTAGCTTTTAATGAACAGAAATGAATATACCTAATTTTAGAGACCAAACAAAAACACTTTAAAATCCAGTAAAATTGAGAAGATCTTAGGGTGTAAGATATAAAATTTCAGATCTGATTTTTCATATCTTCCATGTATTTTGAAAAGAAAACTTTATAACCTGTGCCTGATATGAATAAGGCCTTTTACTTTTTTATTATAAACATTTAGGCTTAAAGTGATTATAGCTGACATTTAAGACCAACAGGAGCCAGTGGCCTGTTCATGGACAAATTATCTATATTTCAGACTAAATCAAAAGTAAACATTCTCTAAAGTCCTTTCAGGTCTACATTGGTCCTGTGGAAGTCAAATGAAGTCAACAAGCCCTCTCTATCCCCTCCACTCTATATATTCTGTAGTCTCACTTTGAAATGAATCATCCTTTCCACAAAGCAATATTATATACATTTTGAACCATTTCCACATCTGAGTCCTTGAATGCTAATTTAATTGATTTTTCTGAATCAGCATTTTTATTTCATCAGAGGAACACTGCAAAAGATCCTAGGTCATGTTGGTTTATAGTTTCATGTTTTCCTAATGGGGGGATGGGGTGCGGTGTGGGGAAGGGGTGGAGAGAAGAGATACCACTATGATCTTCATTTGCTGCCTTTTTAAAAAATTTACTCTTTTGAAGAAACAGTAGCAGTGAAGTCATGTCATTTCATAAATGCTTGCAAAGGTTAACCATTACACAGTGTTCTAAATGATCATGCTGTATCCCTGAATACCAGCATTTGAATATGCTGGTAATCAGGGTAAAACCAGCACAGGCAGTAAGAGGGCGGTCGCCATGCTGAATCACGGAGCGGACCGCAGAAACGCTCCCGTCACCAGCCATGATGTCACTCAGCTCGAAGCTGCTGGAAGCCTGTTAGAAACTAGCTCTAGGGAGAAATGTCTTCTGACTTGTCATTGGTGCTAAAAGGCGTTGGTTAAACAAACACAGACCCCTTTTTGGAGCCTATATAATAAACTCAGGCACATTAATCTCCACTTGGAGAGATTAATCTCTCCTCAGTCTTTAGTCGAGGTCTGACCCCTAACTCTTAGGGCTATAATGGAAGGAAGGGCAAGCTGAACCGACATTAGCTAACAGTTTGTGTAAAGCAAATAAATACCAAATAAAGCAAATAAATAACATTTCTTAACTTTTTGTTTTTATTGAGTCCCATAAGACAGAAAGTGTCTCTCTGTGATGATACAGAATTACATTACAATCTGTGTAATTTGTTTAACAGTGTTCAGTTTATCCCAAGATTTGATTTAAGAGAAGACACGGAGATAAAAGAAGGGGTCACCTATTTGGCCTAGGTGTTTTGGTGTTTGGACAAACAACGCCCTTAAAGGGTCAGAATTTTTGGTGGTACCCCTGCTTTTGCCACTGACACATATTTATGACCTCAAACCTCTCACTGAATCTCTGAGGGTCTCAGTTGTGTCACACGTGCAATCAGGAGAACCGTACCTTCTCCACCAACTATGAAGAAGTAGGAATGAGGCAAGGTGGAAGGTGTGAGTGTAGTTATCAGGTCCTGCCTTGCAGATGAGATGGTAGTCTTTTATAAGAGCTGCTTTCTTGAGAAGAGAACAAGTGTCAGTTCATGCTACACTCTGAGCAATACCAGAAATAGTGCACATTCAGGAAGTGTTTACTGTGGTTATGAATAAAACTCTGATGACACTAGCAAATCAGAATGAATAAAGTAATCCCTTTAGGGGTAAGTTATGGATTAGGAAACCAGACAAGACACTGGAAACTTGCCAGCCGGCACTTTGAAATCTGCAGTTACTTGGTGGCATCTCTTCTGTGCTTCTGGGCAAGTTCATGAGATGAGCATAGACCTTCAGTGCCTCTCTCCCCTTCTAGATTCCTGTTGAAAGAAACAATAACAGTAGAAAAGGGAAGGTCAGAAGGAACCTGAGTTAGTGTTGAAAGTAGGGAAGGCCATCAACCTGTGACAGAAACGTAAAGACATGTTGTCCCGTGAAGGACGGGGACTGACCCACTTGGAACAACACTGCGAGACCTGAGCATTGGTAGAACGCATGGCTGCCACAGCTACCGACCTTCCTTCTCCGATTCAAACCCTGGGGAGAAAAAGTGAGGCCCTCTTTCCAGGCATTTCAGCACAAAAATCTCCCTCCATTCCATTAGCTCTGACAGTGAAACCTGCCATCCCCAAACCTTCCTGAACCATCAGAGAAATAGAATGTATCCCTTACCTTGGACCTATTCACCCTTGAGCCAGAGTGAATAGGGAGGGGGCCCCACCTGAAGCATGTTGGCTGTGAGAAGGGGAGAGAAACCTGGATGTAGTTTCTAGGGGGAAAAAAGGGGTGAGTGAATGCTTGCCAGACACACTTACTTATTAAACTGTAGGCTCGTGGTCACTAGATACTTCACGTATACCTGAGTTCAAGAGTGCAATAAACTTAGCAAACCCTCACCGATGCAATGGACATGAACTTGGGCAAACTCCAGGAGATGGTGAGGGACAGGGAGGCCTGGTGTGCTGCAGTCCGTGGGATCATGAAGAGTCAGGCACGACTTGACGACTGAACAGCACTTCCCATTGACTTTAAGAACTGTTTGCCACTACCATTGCTTCTTGCTTACCCAGAGCGTTGCCTGCCATTGTTGCTAAACTGACTCCAAGGTGGTTTGTATAAAGCTAATCCAGCACCAGCTTTTTCTTGGGAATCTGGCCCCTGCAACCTGTCCTTCCAGTACTCCTCGACGACAGAACTGTGCCTTCAAAAGCAATTGAAGTGTCTGCCTGTCACAGTATACCAGCACACTACTGGGCTTTTGAGGCCTCATGCTTTCCTGATAACTGCTTCCCCTGAGAAGACCCTCTTATGTATCCAGAAAGCAAGCCATGGTGTTCCTGACTTCCGAGTCTCAGCAGCTCTCGCAGACTCTGTCCAGTACCTGCAGACCTGGAGTCTAAACACAGTGGGGCTGCGCAGACTGCAAAGGGCCCACGGGCAGTAGCAGCCTCAGCGGCCGCAGAGTACCCCCTTAGCACTGGCGCAGCGGCCTGGCCTCCCCGCTGGAGAAAAGGGCAGGCCACAGGGCACCGGGGTGGGGGAGGGCTGCCTTTATTCCATGAGGTTTCTTGTTACCTCCCTACACAACTCACATGGTTTGCTTTTAACGGTCTGCTTGTCTTGTTCCATTTGACCTGTAAAAATGCTAACATCCTTTAAGTAGATTTCTCTTAAAGAGTTGAATGTTTCTTTGTCAGGTCTTACAGCATATTTGATGATAATCGCCAGGATCCCACAGGGCTGACAGCTGCTCTTCAGGCCACAGACCTGGCTGGAGTTCTGCACATGCTCTATTGCGTCCTCTTCCACGGCACGATCTCGGACCCCAGCACTGCCAGTCCCAAGGAGAGTTACGCTCAGAACACAGTCCAAGTGGCCATCCAGAGTTTGCGTTTCTTCAACAGCTTTGCAGCTCTTGATCTGCCTGCTTTCCAGGTACCAGGAGTTGGTTAACCAACCAAGAGTTAATAATTTTATGTAGATATGATGAGAGTTTCTTCTCCTGGATTGGAGTGTCAGGAATAAACTACAATTACGGGAATTACAGTACATGCTATTTATTAAGCTACTATATTCTAGGAAATGTATTAAGTGCTCTGCATATGCTTTCTTATTTATTCTCATGACTACCCTCCAAAACGTTATTATACCCATTTTACAGATGGGAAAGCTGGCAGTTAAGTAATTTCCCAGGGTTACACATAGCTGAGCCAGGACTGGTACCCATGGTTATATGAACCCCAGCCTATGCCACTCTGCTACTTACAAATCTTCTGTCTTGATTTCTTTAGAAAAACCGTTATCATCCTATAAACATTTAAATATTAAGGAAAGTAATGGTTTCTTATATAAACAGAACCGAAATTAGATAAATTGTTTTGATTGATGACTTTCTATGGATGATTTAACTGACTGGTGTCCAGTGTAAAGTACATGTGTAGTTAAATGTGCAAACCCCTATAAATTAAGTTTTTATAGCTAAAGAAAGAAAAATTGCTTTGTGCTAAAACACCAGACTGTCAGCTTAGAAACAGATTTTTTTTCATGTAGGAAATTTAATTTTCAAAAACACTGAACCTTTGGAACAGAGCAAGCCCCAAGGAGTAGACTTTCTCTTTCAGTTTATTAACTGTCAAGTGATTTCATTAAAAAAGGAACAAGCTTGGCAGATGATGAACCCATAATTTAGATGAATTGCTTTGCTTAAAGGGAAAAAGGTTACAGAGATACAAATGTATGAAAAGTGTGGTCTTTGGCCTTCACAAAATGGAAGAAACACTTCTATTTTGTAGCTAGTGACAAATGTGTAATTCTTGTTCTCTTGACAGCTGGAAATTATGAGTCAATTGTACCACTGGATTCAGTATCTTTCAACTTTGTAGAGTTAGTTTATCCCTCCCAAGAACAGAAGTCTCTTCCTTGGGGTTAATGCTTTTCAGTTTTCAAAGCACTTAAACTAGCCTGAGGTGGTAACTACACAATATGTAAAGTTCCGAGAGGTTACAGCTGCACCTTTAACAAGAGAAAATGCCAGTGGCTCTGGCCTCTGGGTTGTACATAACATTTGTGTTTTATGAAGACTCAACCCCACTTGTTGTATCTGGAAACAGCTTGGAAATCAAGATATGCTCATTTTATGTCCTCAGAATATGGAGACCGGCAGGCTACCCATCAGCTAGATCCAACTAGAGTGATTTCTTTTGTTACCAGGGACTGTGAAAAGCAAATAACAAATGAAAAATATTCCTCAGTTTCTGGTTTTATGGGTCTTCCAACCAGGGTTTATACTGCTGCAGGGGGCTCCACTTCATACACGAGCATCTCCATTAAGTGGGCCATTCCATCAGTCACTGCGTGTCAGGGAGCCCCCGGTCCCTGCACCACCCGCACACCTCCATGAGCTCACAGCCTGTGCAGCCTCACTCAGAAGGAGAACCACCCAACTCCTTCCAGCTCCGCTCCCTCGGGGCCTTTAGGCACAATGGCCAATAATGTGAGAAAAGTTAAAAATCTATTTCTGGAGCTCTTCATGCCAAACTAAGATAAAAACCAAGATTTCTCCTCTCCAGCTCTTTGCCTCATCAAGCCCAAAATATACCCCCTATTTGAACCACGTTTGCTTCAACCACAGGAAAGATACCAAGGTGACTCAGGAGTGTCCCAGCCGTTCTTAGAGTGAAATGCCCGCCTCCTGGGTGGAATGTCTTTTCTTGGCTGGTTCCCAACAGTTCTTTTGCTTTTTTCTCCTCTGTCCTTCCTGTTACTCCATATTTCTCTTAATTCTTCCCTGCTGTATCTTCTTTTCTTGATCTCTTTCCTGACTCCCCTGTCTTCTTTTATTTTAGTCAATTCTCTCCCCAGACACTGTTTCCAGGTTCCGTTTTCCCCTTAGCCCTGGGGCAGGAAAGCCTGCAGGGGCCTTTCCTCTTGGCTGCCATCCTTTTGTTGCTCAGAGTCCAGCACATGTTTTTCTCTTACTCTTATACATCAGGATGTGCAGGGACCCAGATTCCTGGAATTGCTAGCCTCAGGGCCTTTAATACATCTACCAGTGATTACCTTATTGCACCAGTTACTTTTATCCATTTGAAAAACAAACTTATTGGGGTAAACAGCAACCATTTTATCATGATCATAGCTCCTGTGGGTCCGCAATTCCAGCTGGGCTTTTAACAGTGGGAGTGGCTTGTCAGTACTCCACAATGTAGGGCTTCTGCTGAGGGGCTCAAATCCTGGGGTGGAGAGTGTGGAGAGGAGGTGCAGGTTGACTCAGATCGCTGGGAACTGAAATTAGCTGGAGGCTCCTTCACGCTCATATTTTATGCCCAGGAATCCAAGACCAGATTCACCAGGACTACTGGCCATAGACTCTACATACGACTTCTCTATGTGACTTGAGCTTCTCAGAGCATCATTGTGTCTGTGTTCTCAATAGGAGTGTTCTGAGAGGAAACTTCTGGAAAACATGTGCTCCCCAAGGATCAGACAGAAGCTGTATGGCCTTTTATGACCTGGCCTCTGAAGTGGTATAGTTATATATCAGCCATAGTCTATTGGTTACAGCTTTCCAGATTCAAGAGAAGACATAGGTCCCTTCTCTCAAAGAGAGGGCTGGCAAAGATTTATAGTTGTTTGCTTAACCAACCACTGTAGTCTGTTCAGCATGCTAAAGCAAAACATCTTTCCACACAGACATTATTGATGTAGATAGACATCTGATCAAGCGTGCAGTGCTCAAGTAAATGTGATACAAATATACAATATTTGCATCATAAAGCGATGGGTGAGTTTGGGAGAAAAGTATTTTTATGATAGATATGGTCAGAGAAGCTCATATTCTAGTTCATTAAACAACTTATTGTCAAAAGTGAGATTTTAGGAGCTATGTTTATAATAAGCACAGGATCGTTTCTCAGCCTTTTGGCTAAGATCAAGTATGACAAACACAGAAAAAGAGATTTTAGATACAATATGGGTCTGACCTCAGAAAAAAATCTGGGAGACAATTTATGAACTTCCCAGAAGGATCAAAGGAACTGAAGAAAACTGAAATGAAATCAGTGGTCTGACCGTCTGAAAAGTTGGACAACGTGAGACATGTCAACAGATTGAGTCCCAGTGCGTCACAACAGTGCATCTCTGTAGAGCTGTTACAGAGAAACATCCTCATCAAGACCTCTGGGTCTGGAGTCAGACTGACCTGACTTTGAGCCATCATGCTACCAAGTTGTGTGACCTTAGACAACTCATATGAGTCCTTAAAATTCAGTTTCCTATTTTTAAAATAGAGATTAAAAACACTTACCCCACAAGCCTAAGGATTAAATGAGACTACATAAAAGCACCATGCTAGCTAGCTTGCTCCTTGGAAGGAAAGCTATGACAAACCTAGACAACATATTAATAAGCAGAGACATCACTTTGCCAACAAAGGTCCATATAGTCAAAGCTATGGATTTTTCAGTAGTCATGTACGGATGTGAATTGTTGTTCAGTTGCTCAGTTGTGGCCGACTCTGCAACCCCATGGACTACAGCACACCAGGCTTCCCTGTCCTTCACCATCTCCCAGAGTTTGCTCAAATTCATGTCCACTGAGTCGGTGATGCCATCCAAACATCTTGTCCTCTGTCATCCCCTTCTCCTCCCGTCTTCAATCTTTCCAGCATCAGGGTCTTTTCCAATGAGTCAGTTCTTCGCATCAGGTGGCCAAAGTATTGGAGCTTCAGCTTCAGCATCAGTCCTTCCAATGAATATTCAGGGTTGATTTCTTTTATGATTGACTGATTTGATCTTCTTGGAGTCCAAGGGACTCTCAAGAGTCTTCTCCAACACCACAGTTCAAAAGCATCAATTCTTTAGCACTCAGCCTTTTTTATGGTTCAGCTCTCACATCCATAAAGGACTACTGGCAAAACCATAGCTTTGTCTACACAGACCTTTGTCAGCATAGTAATGTGAGAACTGGACCATGATGAAGGCTGATGCTGAAGCTCCAGTACTTTGAACACCTGATGCAAAGAGCCAGTTCATTGGAAGAAACCCTGATACTGGGAAAGATGAAGGCAAGAGAAGAAGGAGGTTGCAGAGGATGAGATGGTTAGATAGCATCACCGACTTAATGGACATGAATTTGAGCAAACTCCAGGAGATAGTAAAGGACAGAGGAGCCTGGTGTCCTGCAGCCCATGGGGTTGCCAAGATTTGGACACAACCTAACAACCGAACAATAACAACAAAGCTAGCACATGGCAGGCCCTGTAGACCGACTCAGATTCCAAAGGGGTGAAGAATTTACCCAAACCATCTTGCAGGTGTTGAATCAGAAGGTTAAATTTTGAGTGCTGCATTCCCACTGTTCCTGTACCTTTCTTCAGAGCTATAAACCTATGTAACTATTTTGTGTGACAACATGTTGCATAGCGGTAACAAAAGGTTATCCATTAGAATATTTTCTTAACTGGTTCCATTTCATTGTATACTAATAAGGCTGTCAAAATATTTTTCTCCCTTCAGCAAAGACTTTTATTTCACTCTGAATTCATATTGGCACAGGTGGCCTTGAGATCCCGGATATTGTATATTGCATACTCTTTGACAGTTTTTACAATTGAAGGTGGTCTCAAGAAACAAATCAATGTACTGACTCGGCAATTAATTCTGGCTAAAAAGGAAATATGGTTTCCTTGAAAAATTGGTTTAATTTTTATATTCAAACTTGCATGCCCCTTGACCTGCTCTTATCAGTAAAGGTTAAACAGAGGGCAGTGGGTCACAGCAAGCTGGACACAACTAATTAAATAAGGGCTGAGCTGAGAAGGTGTCACTCCTTGATTTAAAAGAGCAAGGCCCTCCTGAAGTCTCTTTGGGGCTTGAAAAGCATCTTGTCTCAGTGCAATGAAACTGAGGCAGAAGGCACTCTTAAAATTTAGCAGTAATTTTGTTTCAACAGTATTAATTAGAAAGACTGTGTTTCACAACACTGTTAAGCAGAGTGAATTCATTGAAAGTTCCAAGCTGCAACATATCTGACCTGGTTCAAGCCAGCCAAGACCTCCAGTCGAGAGATGAGTTTAAAACGCTGCCGCATCCCGCAGGCCCGCAGTGGAGCTTCATTCCAGTGTGGGCTGCGAGTGTATTCTGTGGGCTTCGCCTCTCCCCTTTGCCCTCCTGTCGCTCCGTCTGTTTGACATGTTTATTAAATAGAAGCTTCAGGCTGCACAGACAGACTCAGGCTCTCCTCCCGCGTCGCCCACCACCGGCAGCCGCTTGCCTGTCTTGAGAAAGGATCCCAGAAGCCTTGTAACTGAGGGGGCTGCATTTTGTTTGTTTTTTTGGGGGGAGGTGTTTGTTGGGGATTTTTTACATTCTTTTGGGAGCTGCGGAGCTGTTTGAACAATAACTAGTTGTTATTTATATCTATTTTGTTTTTGAACTTAAGTAAATAATTAGAATTGTATTTTAATCCCTGCATATGAGGAAATATTTTCTCCTTCAAAAAAAAAAAGTATTGGAAGTTAGCTAAATGGTAGATTTGCAGGTGAATTTTAATATCTTTCAATTTTTCCAAGTTTTCTACAGTGAGACTATTGGTGCAATGAGAAAAAAATACCTCATTAAAAATGGGGTAAATACTCATGCTTTAGGTAAATAACATCTTGATCCACATAGTTACAGGCATCTGGTCTGCTATGCTCTATTTTCTTTTTTTTGGGGGGGACGGTTAAGTGTTGCATTTATTACGGTCACTTATTAGAGCAAGAATCCTTGAACTGAGCTGTTAAGCATTGTGCTTTCGAAATTTCCTATGCTTTCCTGGCAGCGTGGCGCAGAGTGCACCGGGCCCAGGCTTGCTTTGTGATTTGCAGCCTTGGCTCTCCCTGGCTGGGGAGTTCTAACTGCTCCCTGTCTTTGTCAGTCTATCGTAGGGGCAGAGGGCTTGTCCCTTGCGTTCCGGCACATCGCCAGCTCCCTGCTGGGCCACTGCAGCCACGTCTCCTGTGAAAGCCTCCTTCATGAGGTCATCGTCTGTGTGGGCTACTTCACTGTCAACCACCCAGATAACCAGGTAAGGGGCCCAGGAACGTTCCTCAGACTGCTTCCCCAGCCCTGAGAGTGTGAGGTATTGGAGTGAGAAAAGGCAGGCGAGCCTGCTGGAACCTATCTGTTCTGTGTGAGGCCCTTGAGGCAGGCTCCAGGGATATGTCTCTGGTTTCTCCTCTCTAGAAAGACATGATCAGCCCTAGATCAGCACGAGGACCTCCTCTTAGAGCTAGAAAAATAAAATATTTTTCATCAAATATTCTTGTTAAGCCACATAGAAGTGTCTCCTCCCTTACCATGTAGATTCTGATGCTTTATTCATTTTGTTTGTTTGTTTGGATGAAATAGATAACATCTTTCAACTTGCATCACTTTGCAAATAGCATCAGAGTCCGTTGCTTTATGAAACTGCTCTTGGTCTTTGGCTTCTGCTGAGGTGCTTAAGAGGGTGCCAGATGGTGTTGGAGGGGAGCCTGAGAAGGCAGGGCTTGGTCCTTACCCCCCTGAATCACCCAGAATACTTTTGCATTTAACTGGTTTTTTTTTTTTTGGTTTCTGAGCAAGATTTCATTTGTAAATAGGGTTCTGTTGCCTTAAAATGTTGGGAAATCTGTTTTACAGATTTTATTTTTAAAATAACAATAATAAAATATTTCTCCTTATTTTAAAAAACAGAGTTATGGCATAACATATCAGATTGTAATTCCTGACAACCTAATTTATCTAAAGCCTCCTACTCAGCAACTCTAATTGTGTGGATTATATCTGAGAGGCCACCAAACAACCCTCGCTCCAAGTTTCCTAATTTTTTATTTTAGGCAACTCTGTAATAAATATGCTTACTAGGTTTATTAGCCTGTAGTAATCTAGACCAGGAGAAGGCAATGGCAGCTCACTCCAGTACTCTTGCCTGGAAAATCCCATGGATGGAGAAACCTGGTAGGCTGCAGTCCATGGGGTCACTAGGAGTTGGACACGACTGAGCGACTTCACTTTCACTTTTCACTTTCATGTACTGGAGAAGGAAATGGCAACCCACTCCAGTATCCTTGCCTGGAGAATCCCAGAGACGGGGCAGCCTGGTGGGCTGCCATCTATGGGGTTGCACAGTCGGACACGACTGAAGTGACTTAGCAGCAGCAGCAGCAATAATCTAGACCAGGGCAGGAGAAGGACAGGAGATAGTTGTAGTGCCAGAGCCAAATACAAGGTGAGAAGCTACACACTAAGAGCTGATGAAACTGCCTATCTGATAAGGAGAAAGAAGATAGAAGGAACAAGACAAGCCCAAGAACTTAGCAGGTGTAGGCATCAGAGTTCACAGGGACACTAACCCCAGTATTTTATTTCCCCAGATGATAGTTGATGCCCCTAGTGCTGACCCTGAGTGAGCATGGAGGCAAAATGTATGTTGTATATCTTCCCTCTAAGAAGGTTAAAGAATATGCAGTCCCTCCCAGAAAGATTTCCATGGTTAAAATACAGGAAATGCAGACCCTTGCCGGAGTAAGTGTCACACATAGAAAAATTCCTCGTTCACAGACCTTGTTGCCCCGGGGGCAGACCTTTCTCCTCTCCCACCATGGGAGCACTCACACAGCACTCTCCCCAGCCAGCACCTCGGGAGAGATGCTCTGTCCTCTCTGGACCAGGCCCCACAGGTTCAGAGTCTCTCGCAAGCTACTTAAGGAGGAACATCTCCTGTTAGGTTATCTTTTCTTCATGTGTGTCCATTTGACCTACTAAACTACGTCTCATTTCCCTTCAAAAGTTTGTCTTTTGGTTACAAAAGTATCCCTTACTCATCATGAAAAAGATAAGCAAGCCTAAAGAAGGAAGCAGAGTCCCAGTCATTCCTGATCTCCCTGTTGAGACAGCCACTGTTACCATTTTGGCAGGTTCCTTGCAGTCTCTTTTCTGTGAACATTTTGCCAGTTAATATTGTTGAGATATAATTGACATATAGCATTGTATTGGTTTTAAATGTGTACAGTGTGAAGACTTGATCATGGTTATGTTGCAAAATGATTAGCACAATAAATTTAGTTAACAGTCATTACCTCACATAGTTAAATTTCTTTTTATTGTGATGAGAACCTTTAGATGTACTCTCTGCGACTTTCAGATATGGAATACAGTATTGTTAACTTTAGTCACATGCTGTACATTACATCCCCAGAACTTATTTATCTTATAACTGGAAGTTTGTACCTTTTGGCACCTTCACTCATTTCACCCACATTCTGTCCCTCTATGAACATTTTTACCTAGCTGAGCTCATATTGTATATACAGTCTCTCCTGCTTTATACACTTAACATTATATCAGAACCCTTCTTTGTGAGTATCACTTTTAATGGCTACATGACTTTACTTATGTAAGTCATTTACTATTTATCATGACACTATCTCCTGCCCTTGTAAAGAGGTGAGTAATTTGTGTGTGTGATGATATGTTACTGTACAGTTCTACAGCAAAAGGTTTAGTTCCTTCAGCACACTCATGTTTAGGGATAGTTTGAAACTCTTTGCTTAAATCAACTGTGTTGTGATGAATTTACTGAACTATGTGGAGTTTCAGAGAATCTTTCTGCTACTCCTCCCCTGCAGGTAAAACACATGCTCTAAGTATCTCTGGGCTCACCAGAGTCAATGAGAAATGGGGACGGGGGAACTGGTGTTTGGAAATGGCATGTTAAAACTGACATGGACCTGATGGCAAAGTAATGCCTGGGCATGTTGGAACAAGAAAAAAGCAGATTCAGTGGGCAGAGAGAGCAGCAAGCAATGCAAGGAGGAGACAGAGACCCTATGGCTTCTCAGTCAGGGAAGAAGATGCTGTGGGGTTTAGAGGTAATTGTGGAGAGGTAAGTTCACTATGAGTAAAAAGTTAGAAAAGTAAAAAAAAAAAAAAAGGCCAGACCTGCTGTCTCAACACCTTGCATCCCAGAAATCCTACCTGGACATCCACTTCTGATTTGATGGAAGGTCAGAGAAGTCAGTTCAGTCCTGATGCAATTGCTGAAGCGGTAAAGTATCTGCATATGATGCAGGAGATCTGGGTTCAATTCCTGAGTTGGGAAGATCCCCTGGAGAAGGGAATGGCAACCCACTCCAGTACTTTTGCCTGGAGAATCCCATGGACACAAGAGCCTGGCGGTCTACAGTCCATGAGGTCGCAGAGAGTCAGACACAACTGAGAAACTAACACTCGGTGTCAACTAGAAAAGAAATCAGAAATTGCTAGAAATGATAGTAATTGTCAACCACTGAGACACTGAACCTTAAGGAGATGCTGTTTCTAAGCATAACCTCTTATAGTCATAGAATTCTTTATTTGTTGTTCAGGTGCTCAGTCATGTCTGACTCTTTGCAACCTTGTGGACTGCAGCACACCAGGCTTCCCTGTTCTTCATCATCTCCCGTAGCTTGCTCACACTCATGTCCATTGAGTTGGTGATGCCATCCAAGAATTCTTTATACTACCCTCATATTTGTTGTCTCTTGGACCTCCCTCATTAGCATTTCACTGAAGCTATAAGCAGAAGATTTATTCCTACCTCACAGACAGGTGAGGTATTGGGATTCAGTGAGGTGAAATAAGCCCCCTGAAATGACATAAAGAATTGGAGAAACTGAGGCTCCGAGAAGGAAAAGGAATTGCCCAGCAAGAATTCACAGAACCCAGTCTCCTAGTAGGCAGTCTTGATGCCCTTTCTGCCTCACTTCTGTTATTATGACAGTGAATTTATTTAACCTCATGCCACTTTCTTTAAGTCAGAGAAATTTCAGAGGAGAAATTACAATGCTCAACTGATTTAATGTTTCCATATCATCAGGCAGAAATCATGTTAATTCGCAGGCCTGTTTGTCCACAGAGGATCTTTTATTCCTTCCAGGGAAACAGCTTGTGTCTTTATAAAACAGGAGACCCTGATCTGCTGCAACCGAAGGCTGTTTTATTAGGTAAACTGCTTTGCATAAAGGATTGGCTCTTCTTATTTGCCACCATTTAGTCTATTAACTGGAAGGACTGAGCCCCATGATACCAAGGATGACTTTAGAAGAGAAACCTGGATAATAAAAGCAAAGCCCCATCCTTGATAGAACCAATCATCTGTTTCCTGTAAGGTTGCAGTTTCTAATTAAAAAATTTTTAATCAAAAGCTTCCTTGTATTTTATAGTACTTTCATGACTCTTAAGTTCCTTCCCATTTAATTATTATAATGAACGTAATTAGTATGTGCTGTCAGGCCTTCACTTTATTTACATTTTATATTGGATAATTAAATGTGGTCTGATAATTAAATTAACTCAAATGACAGATGATTTGACTGCCTGCATATTACTGTATTGGGAATAAGCACCTTTGCATATTCATTTTAGTTAGTGACTGACTTTTTCACCTGGTAAGACCCCATAGATTCCTGCTATCAGAGCTGGAGTCTCCTGTGATAGTTGAAAGGAGGAAGGCTCCCACGGGCCCACCCTCCCCCATCAGCTTCTCTGAAGGGAGTCATGCAGACTGTATCATCATCTGCTTGTCCATTTTGGGGGTGCGGGGTGGTCAGAACTGGCCAGTCAGCTGGACAGTGAGGCTTGTGAAGCTAGATTCTGCCTAAGCTGTGTGACACACAGTTTCCAAGTCTTCTGTCGCTTGATGACTTAGTAAGAAAATCGAAAGGTAATTGACTAGATGTTCCTAAAATGTTGTGCTCACCTAAGACATTTCCCTGCAAACAAAAACGGGGGCAGTCTCCTGGTTGTATACTGCCTGCCCATGAGGGACGCAGAGTTGTGTTTTAAGAGTGGCAGTTTCCCAGTACATTTTTGCTTTTAGAACTCTCAGAGGTGCCCTAATTCCTGCGCAAACATTCTTACTTTGCTCCTTGTTTTTCTCAAAGGCAGATGGTCCTAGGTCACACCCATTTGGTAAACTCCTCCAGCCTCATCCAGGTCTAAGAGTAGAGTGTGCTACGGTGGGCTCAGCGTGGAAACTCCAGCCTTCAAGGCCTTTCTGTCCTT